GTATCGAGGCAATCCTTGATTTTCACGCGTACGAGGTCCTTGTTCTCGTCGTAGAATAAGAACCCAGATTCCAACCAGTCTGGGTCTGTGATGTCCCGTCTCTTTCCACCCGGCAAAGTCTTCCAGATCTCCCACATTCGATCCACGTTGGCATGATGGGAATAGAAGATGGGGTCTCTTGCGGCGGTATTGAAGATTCCCATATCCTCACCGTGCGGCTGGCGGTTATCGCCGGTCCAGTCGTGCATCGTGTTGTGAGGAACGAGCTCTAAGGTGCCGCCCCCGTCGGGATCGCTATCTCCGGCCCGGTAAGCCGTTCCAAAGAATAAAGAAGGAAGCTTGGAACCGCTCACCATTTGCTTGTACATTGTTTTGAGATTTACATCCACTTGATCATCCCAACTTCTCTGCGTAAATTGAAAGTTAAAAAAAAAAAAAAATTGATGCGTGGATTGTAAATTTGTGCAATTCAAGAGAACCAAAGTCATACCTGGCGTTCACAGCCATTGAAGAGAAAATCCACAGGTGTTGGCGGTTGATGATTGGTGCTTCTGAGAGAGTCGTAAAGAGAAGAGTGAGGATCCGTATATATCTCCGGAATCATCATGCCTGCTGGCGCATCCCAGTTCCAAAACGGGAGAGCAAAACTAGGGTCATTGATCAAGCTGGACAATATTCTCTCGTGGAAATAGAGGAACCAACGATGGAAGGGAAAGAAGAGCCAAGAACCGTGGATTTGAATGTCCAGATCAGGAAACCCTACTTGGTGATAAGCACCATCACAATAAGCACAGTGAACATTTGCTTGTTGAATGAAGTTACGAGGATCATCTAGTGGAAGAGCTTTCATGCGACGAACGGCTTCTTCGTATTTCTCTTTATAGCCTTCATCAACTAAATGAGCAGCTGGTCGGATCTTAAGCTTATAAACTGATGGAAATTCGAAGTCTTTTATGTATGGAGATGGTGGGAGGCAACAGTTGGTCCGCGTAGCACTGCTGAGGACCTCCGGCGATCCACACTCTGTGAGGTCCGGCGGCAGGATCGGCTTGGCGAAGGCGAATGGGTCATTCTGGTGAAGAGAACCGCAAAGGCCACCTAGACCTATGAGGAGGTTTCTTCTGGAAAGATCAGGGACTGCCTGGGAGTGATGGGTTTTAGGGTTTTTGGGGTTGAAGTCATCATCATCATTTGTGGCTTTGCACGCCACTAATTTGATGGCTTTAGGTTTGTTGAATTTGAAGAAGGGACGGGCTGAGAGAAAGGAAGGGTACTGTAAAGAAGCCATGAATATCCCTCAAGAGCTTTCTTACTTCCAATTGTGTGTTCTTGAAAGGAAACACATCGAACTAAATATTCATGGCCGATCCCGTCTTTATCAACTTATTGACTTGTTTCATCATGTCAATGAAACCTTTGCTTTTAAAATAACGTTGAGTTCTTCCCATGATGAAGCATTAGCTGTACTTTTTTATGTTAAATATTCTAGAAATATGGTACTCCTTCGATTCTAAATATAATACTCATTTTATAGTACAATTTGTACTACAAAATGAGTCTTATATTTAAGACTATTATTTATTACATAATCCTAATAGAGTTGAAGTGGCAGTCACATGCATTTGAGGAGAAATAAGATATAAATAGATTCATAGAAGTACTCCCTCCAATCTATAATATATTATAAGAAGTTCGGTTGACTTTTTTCACATATCAATAAATAGAAATTTAGTCATTAAATATATCCTAAAATGATAAAATTGTCCTATTTTAGCCCTAAGAAATCATAAGATTGCTTAATGTTACAATTTTATTATCTCCCACGCTCTCTCCTATATTTAATATGGGCAAAAGTAAAAAAAAATTACACTAATGATTCTGACAAAGTCTTATATTTTGGAATATAATTTTATCCTCGCTGACTTCTTATATTATAAATGGGAGAGAGTATATAATAAATCTATTCATCAAGAAATAAAGAGGGTTGACAAACTAAAACACTTAAAAATTCAGTATTTTGAATGTAACGTATGTAAGCACAAAATTAAAGCGTCATAAAATATAGTACTACCACGTAATTGCAAACTTTTACATCTATTAAGAACTAAAAATATATGATCACCCCATTATATATCAACATAAAATAATTAATTACACCATATATATAACTAAATTTTTTCCTCAGTGCAGGGATAATAGAAAATTACACGCTCAACGAGACATACAATTTTTTTTGGGTGAATAACGAGACATATATAATTTAATAAAGTGGCAGTAAGATTCATTGAAAGAAGTAATATATATACATAATGATTGAAAAGTTTTACTGATATTTTCTTTCTCATGGAAAATTCTTTCAATGCTAATATTTTCCGGTCCGGTTTCTCTCCTATATTCTTCCCCTACTCTACTCCTACTTTTCCTTTCACCATAATCGGATTAAAATTTCAATGATTCAAATTTAACATTATTTAAAATATTATTATTTTATTTAAAAATATATAGATAAATTTTAATTGCTAAAATTTAACATGAAAAGCTCACACTTTAGATTGTTATAATAAACTAGATTTTCTTGCGTTACATATGAACCATTCATATCAAATTTTAACCTTTAAAATATATTAACACATTTTTTCAATAAAATTGTTTATGTAAATTTTGAATAATTAAAATTGTAATAATATTTTTATAAAATGTTAAATCAGAACCATTAAATAATTATGAGTTATTCATATCAAATTTTAGCACTAAGGAGCTTTCTTGCTTGCAACTGTGTGTTCTTCCAAGCAAACCTATGAAAATACTCTTCCGGTCCTTAATATAAGACTTATTTAACTAATTTGATTAGATTAAGAAAGTTAGGTAAGTTAGTTAATTGTAAGAAATATGACATGTTTTTACTAAAATACTATAATCATTTTTCTTAATATCCTCTCTCCTTCTTCTACTTGATTATGGTTGAGGGAGTATCTATAGGGGTAATCAAGAAAAAATTGGTAAATATGAGAAATAGGTCTTATATTTAGGATCAAAATCAACTCAATAATAACTGGAGGAGTAATATATTCATGGCCAGATCCACTTTCTATATCATCGACTTAGGGCATGTTTGGATTGTCGTTTCCAACAGCAAAAGTGTCTTAGAAATGGTGAAGCTGAGGTTGTAAACTAAGTTGGACAAAAAACGTTGTTTGGCTGGGCTAACTTTTCCAACCAACTTATGGCCTTCAACTAATTGGACTCAATAGAGAAAAATCTGACTTTTCAAACTGCAGTTTCAAACAGTGATCATTAAAAATCAACATTCCAGATTTACCCTCATATTTTCCCCTCTCAGACCAAATGAATTTTAATTTATATTCATGTTTGTCCATTATATATATTTAATTAATTATCTACAATGTGTTTTCAAATTTATCTACAATGTGTTTTTAAATTTTTCACAAATAACAAATTTTTTTATTTTATAATTTCATAAATAAACTATTTATATCTTATCATACTAATTTTATGTATTTTTTTAAACTATAATCACATTAAAAAATAAAATTTTAAATACTACTATTCAATAAAGTCCATACCATTTTCAGTCATTTTACAACTAAACTAATTTTTCTATTAATCATCCAAACAACTTTTAATTTTTTCAACTGACTTTTTAAAAGCACCCATCCAAATATATTCTGACTGACTTTTACTCTAACTTTAGTTACAAAAATCATTTTTGCCCAAAGCCAATCCAAACATGTCCTTGATGACTTAGCTTTCTTTGGTTAGGTCAATGAAACTTCTACTTTTGGAAACTACGTTCTTCCCTATAACTAAATAACGTAACAGCCGTACTTTTTATAATCTATTTAGTTAAAATTTAATGCAAGTAATCAGCTCAAATTAAAGTAGCTTGTGGGAGCTTTTGGTGGCCTGCGGTTCTCACTACCCCAAAGGTTTTGCCCGGACTTTATCAAAATCATTCATCTCGCTTGTGTTGAGCTGCAAAATCATTATAAAAGTTTTATATATAATCAAATCGCAATTTTACTCTCAACATAAAATACGCTTACTCCATATTGGCAGTCAGGTAGCATATAAAATTGATCTTAAATAATATTTAAGTAATTTGAATTTTGAAAAATGACATGATCTTTTGATATTGTTTAATATATATATTGGAATATTAATGTCTTATACTAACTCTTCTCTTAATACGTTCAATTATATATGCAATAAATTATTAGGACCGCCAAGAAGTTAAATAGCAATAAAATAGAAACAATCAACGTTGCTCCCCTATTAGAATTAGGACCAACAAGGAGTAGTAAATGCGTATAGCAATACCACTGCCCACTAATTACTGTGTCTAAAAATTATGGTGGAACACTATTTGAAGGCTTAAAATGACACTTCAAAAATTACAGTTTCCTTCTATATATATATATATATATATAAGTAATTATTTTTAATACTGAAAAATTGAAGTGGCAGTCACATGGAAGGGAAAACAAGATGAGGATGAGTTAGTGATTGAACGGCTTATATTGATTTTGGGTCAGAAACAACGTCTGCTCCTATGTTAATAGCAATTATCACTAATATATAATAAATAGATTCATCATGAAATAAAAGAGGGGCGAGAAACTGAAACACTAAAAAATTCGGTATTTCTTTGATATAAGGGTAAAGGTGTAATTTTAACCCCGTCTGCTTCTGTCCCCTCCCCCAAAAAGAACTCTTTCTTGTTACGATATCAAACATGGGCTAGAAATTTGTCATATCTCATTATCAAATTTTGGGAGGTAACTGTGAATCACTGCACCTAGACTCGTTCGCTGAATATCCAAGTTTTTAAAATCTTCTTCCCCATTAAATTATGAAACATGTATGAGCTGCAAATTACCGTATCTCTATGTCAAAATTTAAAGGTAATTGTGATGAGATCCCACAGCTAGACACATTATCCATATATCAACATTTGGTAGCATACGTATTGAACAATTATATTATCTCTGGCTGGTACATAATCAGGACATTGACGATCATAGCATTATATATTAACACAATAACTCCACCACATAACTAGAATTATTACCTCCTCTGTGCAAGGATAGTCATAGAAAATTATAGACCGAACATTATATTACTAGTACACACCCTTAATTAATAATGAGACATGATAAATAATAAAGTATCGCCGAGATTTATTCAATTCATTCACTCAGATGCTCAATTCTGATACGTTCAATGGTAACGCGTCCATCCCCAGTCTGAGGCACGAGAGTGACGACCACGCTCCTGTCGTCATCAGCACCCAAATCCCGCAGCAACTCTGTAATCCCAAATCTCATATTAGTCTTCATCGTCAGCTTCTTGTGATGACGTGGCACGCTCACAAAACTTCCCGCCAACTCGGTTGTCGTGGGCCCACCGGGCCCGCTGAATTCACCTTCCCGGTGCACATACACATCAAACTTCACTGGGGAATCCCTCGAAGAAAACTCAATACCTTCAAGCACTAACACCTCCTCCGTCATTTCCTTCTTCTTCTTCTCCTCTCTTTCCACTACAGTACTCAGGGATAAGGGTAAAACCAGAGGGAACTGTACCTTAGCCCCATCGAATTTGTTCCCTAACTTTTTCATAAACTTGCTTTTGAAAGGTGAGGGCTTGGCTTCTTTCCATGGGATTTCAACATCTTGGTACATGTAGCCTAGCTTTCTGGTATCGAGGCAATCCTTGATTTTCACGCGTACGAGGTCCTTGTTCTCGTCGTAGAATAAGAACCCAGATTCCAACCAGTCTGGGTCTGTGATGTCCCGTCTCTTTCCACCCGGCAAAGTCTTCCAGATCTCCCACATTCGATCCACGTTGGCATGATGGGAATAGAAGATGGGGTCTCTTGCGGCGGTATTGAAGATTCCCATATCCTCACCGTGCGGCTGGCGGTTATCGCCGGTCCAGTCGTGCATCGTGTTGTGAGGAACGAGCTCGAAGGTTCCGCCCCCGTCGGGGTCGCTATCTCCGGCGCCGTAAGCCGTTCCAAAGAATAGAGAAGGAAGCTTTGAACTGCTCACCATTTGCTTGTACATTGTTTTGAGATTTACATCCACTTGATCATCCCAACTTCTCTGCGTAAATTAAAAGTTAACAAAAAATTGATGCATGGGTTGTAAATTTGTGAAATTAAAGAGAATCAAACTCATACCTGGCGTTCACAGCCATTGAAAAGAAAATCCACAGGCGCTGGCGGTTGATGATTGGTGCTTCTGAAAGAGTCGTAAAGTGAAGAGTGAGGACCCGTATATATCTCCGGAATCATCATGCCTGCTGGCGCATCCCAGTTCCAAAACGGGAGAGCAAAATTAGGGTCATTGATCAAGCTGGACAATATTCTCTCGTGGAAATAGAGGAACCAACGATGGAAGGGAAAGAAGAGCCATGAACCGTGGATTTGAATATCCAGATCAGGAAACCCTACTTGGCGAAAAGCACCATCACAATAAGCACAGTGAACATTTGCTTGTTGAATGAAGTTACGGGGATCATCTGGCGGGAGAGCTTTCATGCGACGAACAGCTTCTTCGTATTTCTCTCTATAGCCTTCATCAACCAAATGAGCAGCTGGTCGGATCTTAAGCTTATAAACTGATGGAAATTCGAAGTCTTTTATGTATGGAGAGGGTGGGAGGCAATAGTTGGTCCGCGTAGCACTGCTGAGGAACTCCGGCGGCACACACTCTATGAGGTCCGGCGGCAAGATCGGCTTGGCGAAGGCGAATGGGTCATTCCGGTGAAGAGAACCGCAAAGGCCTCCTAAACCTATGAGGAGGTTTCTTCTGCAAAGGTCCGGGACTGCCTGGTGGTGATGGGTTTTAGGATTTTTCGGCTTGAAGTCATCATCATCCTTTGTGGCTTTGCACGCCACTAATTTGATGGCTTTAAGGTTGTTGAATTTGAAGAAGGGACGGGCTGAGAGAAAGGAAGGATACTGCAAAGAAGCCATGAATATCCCTCAAGAGCTTTCTTACTTCCAATTGTGTGTTCTTGAAATGAAACATATCAAACTAAATATTCGTGGCCGATCCACTTTCTTCATCGTCAACTTACTGACTTCATCAGTTCAATGAAACCTTTACTTTTAAAATAACGTTGAGTTCTTCCCATGATTAAGCGTTAGCTGTACTTTTTTACGTTAAGTATTCCAGAAATATGGTATTATTACAGAATCCTAATAGAGTTGAAATGGCAGTCACATGCATGTGAGGAGAAATAAGATATAAATAGAGTCATAGAAGTACTCCCTCCAATCTATAATATATTATAAGAAGTCCGGTTAACTTTTCTCACACACCAATAAATAAAAATTTAGTCATTAAATGTGTCCTCAAATGATAAAATTGTCCTATCTTATCCCTCAGAATTCATGAGGTTGCTTAATATTATATTTTTATTATCTCCCATCTCTGTCCTATATTTAATATGAGCAAAAGTAAAAAAGTTACATTTAATTATTCTGACAAAGTCTTATATTTTGTAACACAATTTTATCTCACCGGCTTCTTATATTATAAATGGGAGGGAGTACTATGTAATAAATCTATCCATCAAGAAATAAAGAGGGTTGACAGACTAAAACACTTAAAAATCCAATGGTCCAGATTTTACCCCCTCCTTTTTCTTTCACTATTATCGGACTAAAATTTTAATGATTCAAACTTAACATTATATAAAAATATTATTATTTTATTTAAAAAATACATAAATACATTTTAATTGCTAAAATTTGACATGAAAAACTCACAATTTAGATTGTTATTATAAACTAGATTTTCTTGCATTACAGTTATGAATTATTCAGATCAAATTTTAACTGTTAAAATATATTTACATATTTTTTAAGTAAAGTTGTTTATGTATTTTTTAACTAAAATTGTAATAATATTTTTATAAAATGTTAAATCGGAACCATTAAATAATTATGAGTTATTCCCATCAAATTTAGCATTCAGGAGCTTTCTTGCTTGCAATTGTGTGTTCTTCCAAGGAAACCTATGACTATAATATATTCGTGGCCAGATCCACTTTCTGTATCATCGACTTATTGGCTTAGCTTTCTTTGGTTAGGTCAATGAAACTTCTACTTTTAGAAACTACGTTCTTTCCCATAACTAAATAACAGCCGTACTTTTTGTAATCTATTTAGTTAAAATTTAATGCAAGTAATCAGCTCAAATTAAAGTAACTTGTGGGAGCTTTTGGTGGCTTGGGGTTCTCACTACCTCAAAGGTTTTGCCCGGACCTATAATTAGTTATTATAGATAAATTTATCAAAATCATTCATCTCCCTTGTGTTGAGCTGTAAAATCATTATAAAAGTTTTATATATAATCAAATCATTATTTTACTCTCAACAAAAAGTACGCTTAATCCATATTGGCAGTCATGTAGCATATAAAATTGATCTTAAGTAATATTTAACTAATTTTAATTTTGAAAAATGACATGATCTTTTGATATTATGTATCTATTGGAATATTAATGTCTTATTCTCTTAATACGTTCAATTATATATACAATAAATTATTAGGACCGCCAAGAAGTTAAATAGCAATAAAATGGAAATAATCAACTTTGCCCTCCTATTAGAATTAGGACCAACAAGGAGTAGTAAATGCAAATGGGAATACCACTGCCCACTAATTACTGTGTCTAAAAATTATGGTGGACCACCATTTGAAGGCCTAAAATGAATACTTCAAAAATTACAGTTTCCTTCCATATATATATATATATATATGTATATGCTTTATCTACATCTAATGGTTTTTATTTTTAAAGGATGAAAGTAATTATTTTTACTACTGAATCCTGGTAGAATTGAAGTGGCAGTCACATGGAAGGGAAAATAAGATGAGGAGTTAGTGATTGAACGGGTTATATTGATTTTGGGTCAGAAACAACGTCTGCTTCTATGTTAATAGCAATTACCACTAATATATATATATATATATATATATAAATAGATTCATCATGAAATAAAAGAGGGTTGAGAAACTAAAACACTAAAAAAATTCGGTGTTCCTTTGATACAGGGGTAAAGTTGTAATTTTAACCCCAATATTATTTCTTAGGAGTATCCAATATCTTGATTTTCTTAGTTGTGCAATTTTATTCATAATTTTTTTTTTTCACCTGAGATATAAGATCAAAGGTAAAATTGTACAAAAAAACACAAAAAACCATGGGTAAAATTACACACACAAAAATTATGGGTGAAATTATAACATTAAAAAGATTAGGATGCTGGGTGCACATGAAAAATAAGATCAGAGATAAAATTATACATTTAGCCCTAATATAACGTGCCATATGATATCCACGTCAATGATAATAGCTAACTTTGAAACGTAAACTATTGTAACTCTCCATAACAAACTAATAATGCTAAGATATAAGCACAAAAATCTTCATAAAATATAGTGCAACCACGTAACTGAAAACTTTTACATCTATATAAATATTTTATCCTTTATTTGGATAGGAAGAAAATTAAAGGGAAAAAAATACTGCGAGGAAAAATTGTTAAAAATAGTAAGATTTGAAAGTTTTCTTTCATAACATTCTCCTCTCAATTTTCCTTCTATTTTTCCATCTATCCAAACCAAAATGTTGGTGCACTTTCCTCTTTCGCCGATCCAAAGAATTCAACTAAAGGACGCATTCTATAAAATGAAAATCTAAATTATTATATATAAAACATATGTTAAATTGTGTGTGCCCTAAGACTGGGCCCGTATACTTGTTTACTCTTTACACAATATATAAAACTTCTAGAATTACCTAAGAGTTGATCAATTTGGTAAGGAGTTAGTTTAATTCACAAGATCATGAGTTCGAATCCCACTGTTCTGGTCTTAATGAGTCTCTAGAACCCAACATACCTAGTTTTTCTTTCAGCAAAAAAAATTTAGAACTAGAAAATAAGTTTTCATCCTGAAAAAAAAAAAGAAGAAGTAGAAAATGCTGCAAGGAAATTTGGTACGTTCCAGTTAACTTTGATTTTGGGGGGAATAACAATTTAGGACCAATAGATAAATCAAAATTTAATTTTAGGATTAAGACATTGACAAATTGTAATTTTAGAAATGACTGAGAATTGAAAAATTCCAAAAATTATGTATTCATATAATAAATTTAATAAGATGACTTATATTGCTCAAAAAAAAAATAAGATGACTTATACGAAGGATAAAAGAAATACTCTCTCTCTAATATATAAATAAAATGAGAGAGAAGTATAACAAGAACATTTATTTCTCTCAGAAAATTCTTCATAAAGGAATATTTACTAGGCGATGAGGAGGAGAGCGAAACATCTAAGAATGCATAAAAAAATATATGTCGGACCCGCTATATGGTCTGTACTCTAAGTACTGGTCAGAGTAAAGATAAGGTGAATAGAAACCTTTCCTTAGATGCTAGTCAGAGTCTAGATAAGATCAGATAAGGCTGTGCTCCTATATCTCACGTGCAGTTTTATGTGGACAAAAAAAACTTAAAAAAAAAAACCGCTAAATATCAAATCAGGAATATTGTTGCTTTTCAATTCAATTGTAGTCAATCGTTGTTAAATTATAATAAATAAGACTGATTTGAAATTTTAAAATTTAAGACTTTTTTTGGAGGGATTTTGCCTAAAAATGATACTCCCTTCTATCTATAATATAAGATGTTATTTAGAAGAAAATTATGTTCTAAGATAGATATAAGACATTGTTGAGATAATTAATGTAATTTGTGTCTTCATTTTTGCCCATATTAAATATATGAGAGAGAGGAGAGGGACGGGAGATAATAAAAGTGTAACATTAAAAACTTTATGATTTTCTCAAGAGATAAAATAGAAAAATTTTATCATTTAATGAATAAACTTCCATCTGAGAGAAGTCAAGCTTAAGAAGTTAAACAATGAAGGATATGAATTGGCTTTATAGTACATAAAATGTAATAGAAAAGTAACCTTCGAGAATGAATGATGAATACCTGATAGTGAAATATATAAACGTTCGGCCTGTTTTGTGAAGAATTTTAAAAACTCTTGGTTCAGCAAGGAAAAACCAATTACAGAACAATAAAATACATTAAAATGAAAGGCAAAATAAAACTAAGAGCAACAGTTGAAGAGGATATGTAGAAAAGTGAAAGGATGAAGAAGGCTTGGATTTACCTGCAGGTTCTGCTCCAGAAGCACTCCCTGCTGTTATATGAGAGTATATGACCAATATCCATCACCACACTCACCCAACGGTTGTCGGTATCGGAGACCGCAAACTCAAGCTCCCACGGCGGGTTTGTAAGCAAAGGAGAAAGAACGATTCACTTGGAAAATTGAGGAAGAGATTAAAACAAAAAAATAAAAGAGGAATGGGACAAGACAATAGGAAACACGAGAGACTAAAAAGTCAAGAATGGAGAGGAGAAGGAAAAAAGAAGAAGACGATTTACCAAAAAGAAGTGAAGGAGTCCATGTCTCTTGCTAAGAGGAGAACTAAAATGAAGAAAAGATGAAACACAGCAAAAAATGGAGGCAGCCGACAAAAGTATAATAATTGTCAAGAGCAGAGAAAGCATGTGACAGTCAATTTTGAAATATGTCATAATTAATTAATAATTTTATTTTTCCAAAAACCAAATACTTCTACAAAAACTAAATAGAAATCATTTTTGAGATAACAATATAACATTAACAGCTCGGTTTTTAAGATCTTGTTTTTAATGTTAGTTTTGGAAAAAATATTAAATTAATTGTAAGACAAAATTATTATATGTATATAAAAATTGACACAAATCTAAAAGATTTCAAATTTAAAAAAATATGAGAAATCTACTATATTATAAATGTAAGTAAAAATATTTATATTACTACGTCAAAAAATATTTATATTATAATATTGTTATATTTTTAAAGCTAAAAATTATTATAAACATTAAAAGATTTAAATATCAATTTTTTAATTGTATTAAAATTCAAGTAAGTTCTGCATGTATTAATTTTTAATTTAAAACTGTTAATATTAATGCCAACTTTAAATATATATATCTAGTAAATTTATATTTACTTCTTATATTTATATCATCATATATATTTCTAATATTATTTTTTATTTGATTATTATACTTTAAAACATTGGATATGACGTGGAAAGGTAGCCAAAAAAGCATGAGAAAAGAATCTTGCAGATTTTGAAATGAAAGAGAGAGAGGATTGAGATGGAGGGAACTTCAAATTTTGAAACTCCCACCTTTACATCCTAAGAAAAGCATCTGGAAAACATGCTATACACAAATACACAAAATTAAAATTGATTGATTGATTCTGATACGTTCAATGGTAATTCGTCCTTTCCCAGCCTGAGGCATAAGAGTGACACCCACGCGCTTGTCATCATCAGCACCCAAATCCTCCAGTAACTCTGGAATCCCAGGTCTCAGATTAGTCTTCATGGTCATCCCCTTGTGATGATGTGGCACGCTCACAAAGCTTCCCGCCAACTCAGTAGTCATGGGCCCATCGGCCCCGCTGAATTCACCTTCGCGGTGCACATACACATCAAACTTCACTGGTGAATCGCTCGCAGAAAACTCGATCCCTTCAATCACTAACACCTCCTCCGTCATTTCCTTCTCCTCCTTACTCCTTCCCTTCTTCTCTCTTTCCACAACAATATTCACCTGCGAGCGTAAAACCAGAAGGAAATTTACCTTGCCTTCATCGAATTTTTTCCCCAGTTCTCCCAAGAATCCTGGAACGTGTAGGCTTAGCATCTTTCCGTGGGATTTCAACATCTTGGTACGTGTAGCCTAGCTTTCTGGTGTCGAGGCAATCCTTGATTTTCACGCGTACGAGGTCCTTGTTCTCGTCGTAGAATAAGAACCCAGATTCCAACCAATCTGGGTCTGATATCCCGTCTTTTTCCGCCCGGCAGAGTCTTCCAGATCTTCCACATCCGATCGACATTGGCATCATGGGAATAGAAGATGGGGTCTCTTGCGGCGGAATAGAAGCTTCCCCTGTCCTCACCGTTGGGCCGGCAGTTATCACCAGTCCAATTATGCATCGTGTTGTGAGGAATGAGCTCTATGGTGCCGGCTCCATTATTGGGATGCTCTGTCCGCACCAAAGAAGAGGGAAGGACGTTTCGCACCGCTCACCATTTGGGATCACTCATGCTCTTCTCGTCATTTTACTTATTTTTTTTTTTCGAGTGGAAAGGCAAGCATAAGCTTGGGATCATTTTACTTATTTAGATTATCTTTTTATCCCTTTCAATTTCAGTGGGTATTTTCTGGTCATTTTCCATTTTTTCTTTTCAGTCGCATGCCTATTCAAACTCGTGACTTTATAGACAAGAGCATGACACCCTAGGCAGCAAGTCACAAGTCTGCAAGGCATTGATGATTTGTTTTCACATGAGAAATAAGATTAAAGATAAAATTGCCCGAAAAGACAGAAAAGAATATCATGGGTAAAATTACACAAAAAAAATTATGGGTGAAACTGCACCATTAAAAAGATCAGGAAGATAGATCTTCTTAGGAAATAAGATCAGAAATAAAATTACACATTTACTCTTAATATAACGTGCCTTATGATTTTCGTGTCAATGATAATAGCAAACTTTGGAAACGTAAATTATTGAACTCTCCGCAAGAAGTTAATTAAATAATGCTAATATACTCCTCCGGTCCTTAATATAGGACCCAATTGTTGAGTTGGTTTTGGTCCTAAATATAAGACTCATTTATCATATTTATCAATTTTCTCTAAATTACCCCTATAGATATTCCTTAAACCATAATCAAGTAGAAAAGGGAGAAAGGTATTAATAAAGATGATCATGGTGTTTTAGGAAAAACATGTCACATTTCTTATAATTAACTAACTTACCTAACTTCCTTAATTTAATCAAATTAGTCAAATGGGTCTTATATTAAGGACCGGAGGAGTATAAGCACAATGTTACCGCGTAATTGAAAACTTTTACATCTATATAAATCTCTTATCCTTTATTTGGATAGGAAGAAAATTAAAGAAAAAAAATACTGAAAGGAAAAATAGTTTAAAATGGTAAAATTTCAAAGTTACGTTTTCTTTCATAATATTCTCCTCAATTTTCCTTCCACTTTTCCATCTATCCAAACCAAATGTTGATGCACTTTCCTTTTTCGCTGATCCAACGAATTCAACCAAAGGATGCATTCTATAAAATGAAAATCTAAATTATTATATATAAAAATATATATTCAATTGTGTGGGCCCCAAGATCGGGTCCACATACTTGTTTACTCTTTACACAATATAAAACTTTTAGAACTACAAAATGAGTTTCCGCCCTGGAAAAAAAAAAGGGAGAAAATGCTGCAAGGAAATTTGATACGTTCCAGTTAACTTTGATTTTGAGGGAATAACAATTTGGGACCAATAGATAAATTTAATTTAATTTTAGGATTAAGAAATTGCCAAATTGTAATTTTAGAAATGAGTGAGAACTGAAATTTAAAAAATATATATTCATATAATAAATTTAATAAGATGACTTAGATGAAGGATAAAAGAAATATTCTCTCTCTGGTCTGTAAATAAACTGAGTGAGAAATATAATAAGACTTTTCAGTCATTTTTTTTGGACTTGATTATAAATTTTTTTAAAAAATATGTGGGACCCACTATATGTGATCTGTACTCTAAGGGGGTATTTGGCAATCTGAAGAAAAGTGATTTTGGGCTCCAAACTATAGTTTGGAACAGATAATATCTAAGCACCCAGATTTTGCCCAAAACTTTGGTTTGACCCAAAACCAAGGTTTTGCCTACCGGAACCTAGGTTTGCAAAGAAACAATAATTTTTCATTTTTGGAAGTGAAAAAAGGTGTCGTTGGAGTAATAATTACTCTTGTCGGAAGCTTTGCCCTTCAGTTGTTATTTTGTTTACTTGTGAATTCTTATTAAAAAAAATCAACCCAGGCCATTCACGGATTTTTAGTGTATGTTGCTAATTTATTTTTTGTGTTATCAAAGCTTAATTGCTAATCTAAACTGATTCATTTCTTTCGTTTTCGTTTCTGCACAGAGCTAGCGAATCTCTCACTCTCAGGTGGGAATTCATTCTGATTTTAGAAGTGGTCATTTTCTTAATTATTTATTAATTACATTATTTATATATTATTTATTATGTTGGCTAAAAATATATTATTAACAAATTTATTACTTCAAATAAAAATATATTATAAAATATATTTTTTATGTAATTATCATATAAATTTATGTCTTTTTTTAGTAATTTGTACATATAAAAAGTACTTTTGACAACAACTATCTAAATACTATCATTTTATCAAAATCACTTTTTTATAAAATCTATTTTTTCAAAATCTATTCCAAAAAATAATTTTTTCTCAGAAACTATTTTTCAAACCATGGTTTTATCCAAACACCTTTTAAATGTTGGTCAAGAGTAAAGATAAGGTGAAGAGAAACCTTTCCTATAATAATAATAAGTCAGTCAGAGTATGGATAAGACCAAATAAGGCTATGTGAGGATTCCCTCATTCCCTTCTGCTCATCACATTTTCATAAAAGATCTCATGTGCCATTTTATGTGGACATAAAAATTAGAAAAAATCCTTAAAAAAAATATGTCTTGAATTTCAAAATCTTGGATCAGTTATTACTATAAATATTTGTTGTTATTTACTTGAAGTCAAGTGTAGTCAATTACTAACAAAACATATTAAATAAAACTAATTACTGGCAAAACAAACTAATTTGCAATTTTGAAAGTCAAGATATTTTTTTTTTGGGATTTTCCACTTAAAATTATACATATTGAAGTTTAATGATTTAAGGTAGCGAAAATAAACAATTGATTGCAAAAAAAAAAAAAAAAGTAATTGGAACAGCCATGAAAGGGAATCAGTTTCAATGCTCACTGTAATAATGAGAACCATGATGCTTATCACTGTGATGAAATCTAAACCATTCAGATATGGTTTTAATGGTGTAGATTTAAAATTTTTAACTATTACTTTTTAAATAAAAAAATTTTAAAATAAATTTACGGTTAAGCTATTACCTTTATTTTGGATTATATACCTATTAATAAAAAAATATTTTTAAAAAATATTGAATATTAAATCTCGACCGTCCATATTAAATTTAAAGAGTTGAGATTTGATGAGCATTATGATTCTTATAATTGCAATGAGCACTAAAACGATCACCGAATTAACTTTTGAAAAATCTCAATCTGCAATAAGCTCAATCTTATTGATGCCTCTGATTGGATATATGCACCTGGGGGTACATATGATTAGAGGTGGTAA